GCACCAGCAAGGACCCAAGTGAATATAATATCACTTTGACAGAGCCGATGTGACTAATAAGACTGGGCGACATTCAATTGGCAAAGAGGGGCATTCAGCCGGCCAGACGTAAGCAGAGTTGCCTCAAGCGCGCCATGCACATTGCTTTGGTGTTTTACTCATACAAAGCATGTCGCATCAACTTAATATCAGATTTGGACCTTTCTTGTGAGGAAGAAGTGATTGATTGTGAACAGTTTGCAAAGCAAACCCACAGTTTTGAGCTCCAAATCACAAACAATTCCCCCAACCCTCCCCCAACCCCCAACCCTAGCCCCCCAACCCTAACCGCCCAACTCAACCCCGAAGCCCCTGCGAGCTTTGAAGCAAAGCTTGTGCCGCAGGCACCCTGGCCAAACCTGAGGCGCGAAGGGCACTTCGGGTCTGTCGCTTGAACGAGAGGCTCGGCCAGGGACGCCAGAAGGAAACCAAGCGGTTTTTGGGGGCGTTCCCCCCAAAAAAGGAGAAACACCCATATTGCTGAGCGGCATCGACAGGTCGGCCCTTGTTGCGAGCAAATTCGCTAGGATTGTTGTTCTGTGATGTGGCACTGACAGCATCCTGTGCTTATGTGTTTGAAGTATTGCAGCATCTATTTTGCGCATCAGGGTCTGTTATGTTATTGCGGCCCCCCTTTGCTGGTGGTTTTTGAAGCACACACACAAAAGGACCACCACCAATTTGGGGCCCATCACTGGCGCCAGGGAAGGAAAGATGCCCGTCACGGAGATGATGAGATGCATCGTCGATAGCGAGGAGGCACCAAGAAGCTCCACAAAGAGGGCAACGTGCCGGATTCAAGAACTGAGTGTGTCTTACGTTTTTCGGGAGTGGATTACAGGGAAACCAAAGCGAAATGGCTCCCCCCACTAAGAGGCAAACCCAACTGTGGTGGCAATGAAGCTTCCTTGCAACGGATGCACCAGTATCCAAACCTTGTGATGCATTTGCATGCATGTGGGTATGTCAAAACCGGCGCAAACCGCCAAACATGGTTTTCGCTTTGAACCAAACACACACCGGGGACCGAGCAAGCCTCAAACAAAGAGACGCAGTCGCTCTCTCTTCAGATTCCTCCGTTCCCGGAGAAGATCCCGGGCGAGTGTCGCAGCTTTTTGGAGTCGGGGACCTCTGACGAAAAAGTCTCCAGCCACAGTCAAGTTGGCATTTCCAGGTATGGGTCTTGGAGGTATGTGCTGCATAATTTACCACCAAAAGAAGCACCACATGCAGAACGGGTTGATTCCTGGATTTTTCCAACTTTGCAAAAGGCTGGGTTTAGGCCCATCACCTTTTTGGGCCATGAAAGAGTGTCCCATGAAAGGTGGTGATGTTTTGAGGGGAACTATAGGAAGCCCTGTTCAAGTTGGCAGGCACCAGGTATGGGTCTTGGAGAAGCTGGATGCTGACATTTATTATTAATAGAAGCTGGCAAGGCAGTATATACCCCTTATACAAGTGGATACCAGAACATGGGTGACAATACTGACACCGCTGCAAGGAAGTAGCATACGGGGGTTGATCAAAAGGTCCTTTTCTTTAAATGACCGTGGGGGCAAACCACTAGACAGATGATGTTTCAACCACATGGGAAAAGGGACCCATGGTCATTGATCAACCCCATGTATCCATGCGGCTTTTGCATGTTTATGACTCAGCTTTACAGTTACCAGGCTTCTTCCCACGCTTGGCTCCATGGAACTGAACTAGCAATGTTAATGGCAAAGCTCTCCTGGCTCGTTTGCACCCCCAAAAGAAACAGAGCTTCCGTGGAAAACGTTTCCTGTGTGGGGTCTGGTTTAAAGGGAGACCAAAGGAAAATAACACCCACATTTGGGGGCCCCCTAAAAAAGACACACACACACAAATGTCCACTCAACATGGGCGGCGCGCCGGCGGCTTTTTTCTCGCCCAGTGTCTGAGGCGGACCCTGATCCGCGACCACATGAAGCGGCCCTATGCCGATCGGCTTCTGCAGCACCGTTTTGTGGCGGAGCCCGGGCGGGGTGTTGGGAGCTGCAGGGTGATTTTGGACCCTCCAGAAAATCTCGTTTCCCTTCTAAAGCCACAAATAGAGGGGTATACCGAGCCTCCAAAAAAGATAGGCCTCAAACATGTTTGTGGCGCCAAGGCATTTGCTCGTTTTTGTTGTTTTTGGCCATGCTTGCCTGTCTGAACCGGTGCGTGTGGCTTCTCCTCTGGAAGGTTTGAGAGGAAGTAGCGGAATGCGCCACTTTGCGCGTCAACCTTCTCCTGGAAGAACTCATCCCCAGTGCTTCGGGGATTGATCCGAGGGCAGCTCGGTGGTCAAGTGACTTGGTTTGGGTTCTCTTGGCTCAGTTGGAAGACGCCCAGGGGAGGGTTCCCTCTAAGCACCAGGGTACTCTCGAATCATTTTTGGTGCACCCAGTTCGATTCCCCTTTGAGGCTTCGGGTCACCTCTGCCCGCCCCCAGATTTTGCAGGAGGTCCCACTTGCGAGCTCGCCTGGTGGCCAGAGCGCGGTATCTGCTTCTCAGCTGAAAGATGGCGCGCGGGATCTGTTTGACGCGGACCTTTTTGGATGAGAGACGAGCTCGCTTCTTGAGTTGATAAACTTTAGTAGTCAGTAGATGATCTTCACAGATGCTTCGCCTCGATTGAAGACAGTTTGCAGGAAGCGCAAACTTAAGTCTGAACCAATCGCAAGCATCACCTACATGTTGGTGCCAAGGCCTCGGAATCTCCGATGTCGACCATTGAGCCAGTCATCAGCCCATAGCGGCCGACCATTCCAGGGTCACCAGAGGTGACAACTTGGGATGGGAGCGCCAGTATTGCGACTGCCTATTCGGCAGTTGCCCAACTAGGGGAGTCTCGGGCCTCTGACACATGGATTCTCTGACGTGTGTTTTCGTTCTCGTGGTTTCTTCTTTTCATTCTTATTGGATCTTCTGATTGGATGTTGTTTTTTCCAGTCTGGGTCAGAGTCACCTTAGCAGCGCTTCCGCACCGGCTGGATGCAAAGTCGAGTTGCCAAAACGAGCGGCGCGCTTACTTCTTCAGGGCTTCAGTCATCCGGCTCCGCCCGTGGCCGATTTTCTGCGGTTTGCGTTGAGTCGCAAAGGCTTGTGTCGACCCGTTCTTGGCTCACAGGCTTTGGCCAATATGCTTACACTTCACCATTTGCAGTTTCATGGAACCAAAACTGCCCAAAGTGCCTTGTGGCCTTCAGACATACGGGGCTGGCCACCATGCCGACGGCACCTTTGCAGCATTGAGTTCCTGAATGTGCATACCATGCTCTGCGAAGCCAACACCGATAGTTACCAATTGAAGTAGACATTTATCATCATACTGCCCCCATCATCATGATAGTGACAGTGTCAATGTGAATTTGCCTTTGTCATGCTGATGCCTTCAATGATGCTTTCCTGCACATGTTGTGGCCTGCATCATCGTGATGAGTACCGTGCTGCCTGCATCCTGTTGGTGCTGCCACATTTTGACGCTACCTTTTCAAAATGCTGCCTGCGTCGCTGATGTCGGTTGTGCGTGGTTGACGCAAGCGCCATGGTGATTCTTTCCCATGGAAGCTGAAAACGCCGCCTGCATTTGCAGTACCGCGTGATCCTCTGCGGCAGAATAATCTTTGCATCATGCGATTCCCCGCATCAGCATGCTAACTTGCATTGAATCAGGAGAGGGTCCCCTTTTGCTGGGTGGCCGAGACGAAATTGCGAAGACGACGAAGCTTAAATGTGAAGTCGAAAATGGCTGCGATCACGAAACTCCAAGCCGAAAATGCCACACAAGGACGAGATTCGAAGCCGAAATTGGCGAAGACGATATTCGGGGCGAAGCCGAAAATGCCAACGAACACAAAATTCGAAACATGAACGAAGACCAAATTCAGTGTAAATCTGAAAATGCCCGCGAAGGCGAAACTTGAATGGCTTAGGACTTTCGCGTCGAGTTAAACAACCCGTGCACTTCACTCTGCTCGCGGCAGCCTCTCGCAAACCGAAGCGCCGGGGGAACCAAAGCGAGGCATGTCGACCAAAGCGCCTGGGCCTAGCCCTCGACTTCGACCTCACGCAGACCCCCGCGTGGGGCACTCGATCGCCAGGGGGTTTAGGGGTTGTCTTGAATTTTTTGGGGGAACCTTCAGACCAGTGCCCTTTGGTTTCCCTAAAAAAGCAAACCAGAAAGGGTTCCCTCCACAAAGACGCGAGCAAAGAATCAAACTTGGATCAAATGGCCACGTGTTTGTTGACTCGTTGCAACCCTTCTCAAAGCAACAACCCGTTGCACTTGAAAGATAGCCCTGCTTGTTGAGATGAGATGATGAATTTGGGCAACCCAAGCTCGGCAGTTCTGCAGGACACTGCTGATTGCGACCGTTCATCAAGTTGGAAGTTTGATCCCGTTACATGAGCAGCAAACTCTGATGTCAGCCAGGCAATTTCTCTTATCGTTTTCCTGCATGTCACACGAGGTTTCATGTTGTCCCCACTGACTGGAGGCCTGCCTATCTGAACACCAAGAAGAACCCCAGTCGCAACTGGGCTGTGCACTTGAACGAATGGGATGGATCGGTATCAGACGAATTGGGATTGAGTGGATAGGATGGGATGCCATGAAATGGGATGGAAGGGAACAAGATGGAATGCGCTAAGTAGGCATCTGGTGCACAAGTGGATAGGAAGATAGAATAGTGATAGAACAATTGACTAACGCATACACGTGCATGCATGCATGTGCGTGTGCATGTATGTTTCTAATGGAAGAGAGTAGCGGTGCCATTCTATAAATTGACAATATGAGTCAAAATGGCCTGCCATTTTGGCTCAAGACTTCTGGCATTTGCCTAAGAGAAAAAACAAGTTCCTTGCTTTCGTTACTCCTCCCTTGTAACGATCATGGCCTTTTCGGAAGCCAGCACGGATTCCTTCGAGTTGCTGGACGCCCTGGTGACGGAGGAGGCGGCAGCGCGGGAGGACAGGAGGCTGAGGCCCACTTGGCCCCGCAGCTCCGCGTGCCCGTTGACAAAGCCCGCCCTCTCCATCGGTCGCTTCTTGGAGCCGGAGCCCGGCTGGGAGCCTGGGCCCGGCCTATGGTCATCCTCCTGCATCTTGGTCTTGTCTGCGCCCGGTGCCTTCTCGGTCTCCATGTCCAGGACTGGTCCTCCGGGTCCCCTTCCGCCTTCCGGGAGGGTACTCACCTCCATCGCAAATGTAGCTTCTTCGCGTGAAGCTGCCTGGTGAACCAGGTTCCGGCGGGCATCTGTTTAAGTCAGGGCCTGGGCACTCTAAGTTCGTCATGTTCCCGGACTCCTTCGGCAACGGAGAGTGAGATGGTGGACCTCCTCGGAGCTTGCCTGGACACCCCGATGACGCAGGCCGCCGTCATTAGGATTTTGGAGGGTTCCAGCCGGCCGCAGCGTATCCAGGCCTCCGCAAACTCCCGGAAGCTGCGGAGGTGAGTGCGGCGGATGTTGTCCCGTTGCGCTTCAGGATGTCCATCAAGAGGAGGTGATGGAGAATGGAGCGGATGAAGCGGAAGCATGCGCAACCCGGATTCCTGAGCCGATCATCCACAAAGCAGATGAGGAGCAGGTGGACCTGGGCTCAGGCCCCCTTTGCATGGAATCCAGAAAGCCGTCTGGGCCTGGTCGGGTGACTGTGCAAGCTGCTGGCGCAGAAGCAGGGGAGCTCCTCATCGCGAGTTTGTCTACGGGCCGGAGTGCGAATCCGGGCCACGTCTGCGCCGTGGTAAACTAAAGCCGTATACGGCCATCGTTCTGATGGCGGATGAACTCACACACTCACACACCCGGACTACCACGTAAAGCCGGTGCGATTTCTTTTGAGGCTGTTGAAGGGGCCCGGGGCCTGAGGGGCCCAGTGAGTGGGGAATGCAGTTCAGGCGCCCACACAATGCTGAGGAAAAGGAAAAGGATCCGTAGAGGCATTTTCGCATTTAGTAATGTTTTAATATATATATATATATATATATATATATATTTATATGGTCACCCCCCAAAGAAATCTACCTCAGGCCTAACAACACTGTAAAAACCAGTGTTTTGTAGCGTTTATTGGAAACCAGAATCTGGTCACCCAGAAGGTTGGATTGCTTGATTGATGTTGTGAGCAGAAGCATATGTTTTGTTCTCCTTGAAGTGTGAGATTTTTTGGGAGGCAGATGTTATGGTGCACTTCGGGTGATGCTTGGAACCAGGTTTGTTTTTGGATTTTTTGATGCCCTTGCTTCCTTTTATGGATGGTTGAGTGCATTTGGCCTTTTAGCTAAGGAACTGCCAGCGAACCCCAAAAAACCATGAGAAAACAAAAAGCAAAATTCTGAGGTGGACAACCAGCAGCACTAGTCTTGTTGGTTTTTACCTGAAAACCAACAAACACAGGGAAAACCAAAAACCAAAAACAAACACCTTGAGAAAGCCAAAAACCAAAAACAGTCTCAAACCAAAGATTCTCCTCATATTTTTTGTTTTTTTTGGGTTTTCTCAAGTATATTTTTGGTTTGCTGGCAGTTCCTGAGCCCAAAGGCTAGACAGAAGACTTTTGCCTGGGGACTGGGGCAAGTGTTTCCTGGAAGATGCGGCTGCAGATGCAAGCTCAGCTTTTGGTATCCTGATATGTCCTGCTGGCAGCCTACATCTCCTGCAGGCGCCTGAGCATGGCACCTGTGGCTGTTCTGACCTTTGTGCCAGTATTCGAACTGCGCAGACCTTAGCTTGCGTGTCATAGCTGGGTTCTCGGGAACCCGGCTGCAGCGCAAGTGTGGCCTCTTTGATTTGCCCTGCGGGGACCGGGCCTTGCCCATTTGCCGCAATTTGATATGTGGGCAAGTCTGCCAAGGACAAATGGACCCACGTTTGCCTTGTGGAAAGTGCAAGGCTCGAGAAGAAGCCTTTGGAGCGTGTTCTTGAGCTCCTCAGAAGACACCTCGCCGGCCCTCAGTGCTGCCATGGTGCTTAGCCAGGAGGCAGATTGACGTAAAGCAGGTAGGCTGGAGCTGCATTGGCGAGCCAGAGGGACAGATGCTAGCAGAAGATGCAGATGAATTGCTTGCGGTTAGCAGACGTCCAGACGGATGTTCAGAGCTGTTGTATGATTGAAATACGCACACATATGCATGTATATATACATATATGTAAATGTATATGTTTGTGTATATACTTATATATGCTTATATGCTCACCCCCACTTATGTGCGCAGTTTCCGGCCCCTAGCAACAGTCCTCTCGCGCACGCGCTCATGCATTTTTTGCCGCCAGCACGTGTCCTAGTATTTAGGGGCACCTCCGTGAGTTTAAAGAATTGCCCTTGGAGCTGGAAGACTTCACAACCTAGGATGGGCTGAAGGCATGCTAGGGCACAAAAGCAAGTCGTTTTAGGATGGTTTTGGCTGATACAAAGCAAGCAGAAAATGAAGCACTGTGTCACACCAAGAGGCCGTCAGTGAGGCTGCCAACCCTCTCTATCTCTAACCAGGAGGTGGGTGCCGTAGGTGCGGGCTGTCCGCCTGCTCAGCCAAGACCTTGATCTCCTTGACGAGTTTCATTGGCAGGCTCTGGAGGAAGGAGATGGGCATTGCTAAATGCGGCTTGTAAGAAGGGGCCAAAAACTGCAAACATATGTCCAGCAAGTCTCAAACCAATTCATGCTCAGAAGTGCAGATGTGGATGATGCAGACAATATGCGAAAGCCGTGCCAAGGTAGATTGGGGGGGTGAGCATATATATATATATATATGTGTGTGTGTGTGTGTCCGTGCGCATACCGAGAGACATGCAGTTGCAGACACCCATTCAGACAGACTTACAAAAAGACAGACAACGCATGAGCAGCGCTGGAAGCGCAAGCTGGCCGGCTGGTACCAAACAACCCACGTCTGGTTGGAGTGTAGCCTAAGTCGAGGCAACTATCGAGCGGAGATCAAGGATTACAACAACATGCTTATTAACCAGGCAAGGGTGTGAGTTTGACACACATTTTGTTTGCCTGATTTGCCGCAGGTGCGGCCAACGAATGACCTTGACCCCAGGCGCCGCTGGGAAAAAAGGATCGATTTTCGCAAGCGCATTGGAAATTCAAGCCTGGGGCTTTGCTGTCACACGCTACTGAGGGAGAGTCCTAGCAGCAGCATATGTCCGGCATGTCGATGAACCACATGTTGGCTACCTATGCCGAAACATGAAATTGACGGGAGGCTGAATGCATAGGGTGTGGCGTTAAGCAGATTCGTGCCAGGCATTGGCAAGGAAATGGCTTTGCCGGCCATGCCGCTGACTCAGAAGATTGCCAGACTGCAATTCGTCGCTTTTGTTTTTGCGGTACACGATAAATAGCATGTGTTTGCACCACCTTCCAAAGGCTTCATGTCTAACACAGGTGATTTCAGCAAAAGGCGGCAGGCACTGCACCACTTGCTTGCCAGACTATGTTCACGATTACTTGCTTGGACTTGAGTGATGCAAGGCTCATGTGGGTGTGTCTTTTTTAGGTGGACGCCCCAAAATGGTGGCTTTCCTTTTGGTTTCCCTTCCAAACCTGTAAAACAAGTGTACGCTCACAAAAAGACAAACCCATGTGGCTTTTCTTTGTGAGGTGCAATACGTGCCGTTTATTGGCACCAGCCCTTTGCGAGCGGGGGAGAAGCTTGAGCGCGACATGCAGGCAAGGATTCGGTGCTGCGCGCAAGGTTCTTCCGCGGTCGCTGAAACTTGTACCCAGTTTGTCAAGGCTTGCCTGGCAACCAAGAACAGACGCTGTCCGATTTGCTACCCTCCAAGAAACCAGCTCAGAGATATCCTGCGGGAAATGCTGGTTGTTGGTGGTAGGTTGCGACTACCTGTAGAACTTCCTGCTGGTTCCATGATACCCCGGAAGTTGAAACCTTTTCGATCAATTTGGCCTCTCCGCAGATCTCACAGATGCCCCGAGAGAATGGGAAGCCGCTGAACGTATCGCAGTGATGGCCTCAATTGGTGCGGCTTGATCATCGGCTTGCAGTTTGTAGGGTGCGTCTTTGTTTCGAAATGGTGGCTTTTCTTTTGGTTTCCTTTTGAATACCAGAGAAAAGGGGTAGCAACTCACGAAACGAGCCACCCAGACATGCGAGACCAAAGCAGACTTTTGCCGGATAGCTTGAGGATGACTCGCTCTGCTGGTCGGGCTCCAAGCGAAGTGGGTATGGGTCAAAATTAAACCACCAGGATATGGACCGCAGGTTTTAGCCCTTGGTTCCATTTACCAAGGTTCCATTTTGGGTACCTATTTTTGACCCACACCCAAGTGGTTTTGTTTTGGCTCGTGAGGGAGCGAGCGGATTTTTTTTTATATTTGGTGCACCTGAGGTATGCTTGGCTTCACCCGCGCGCTGGAGGATCAGGACTCGCCTTCGCCTTCGCCCAGAGTGCAGCTTGCGTTCCTCAGCGACTCCTTGCTTTACCCTGTCGTGCGTCTGGTGCAAGGATCAGAGTGAGCCTCGGCCCGCAAATATATCATAGATGGAGTTTATTTGCCCAAATTCTGCTCATTTCGCTATTTATCTTTGCGACGTCTCTCGTCAGCTGTGCATCTGCATAGGCTGCATGGGCTGGTGAGACACCCCGCGAAACTCCGAACCGGTGGCTTCATTTGGTGTTGTTTTAAAGCCATGAGTACCATTTGAAAAAAAGGTTTCCAAAAAGGGGTCCTTTTAAGCCATCCAAATTGGGGTCCAAAAAGGGCACCTGGAAAAAGGAGACCCGAAATCGCTCTCTCGGCAGTTGTTGCGCAGGAGCGGATCGCGCACGAGGCGGCGATAGATGTCACGCGGGACATCCGCGGCGCACCGTGGACGGCTGGATTTCGCGAACTCGGGGAATTGGCCGTGTTCTCTTTTTCTTGGAATGTGGCCAAGGCTTTGGGCCCCTTAAAGGAAACCACAAGGGATGGTGTATCTTTTTCTTGCTGGTGCGATAGGTAGGGAATGAGGGAATGAACCTGGGGATTCTCTTAAAGGAAACCGCCAGTTGGATGGCTTATAAGGGCCATTCCATTGCTCATTTCCTGCCTATCGCGCCAGCAAGTTTTGTACGGGTGCCTTTTGTAGATCCCCCTTAACTGAAATTTAGATTACTGCTTTGGCGGTTCAGGTGGTTCCCATTTACCCTCGAAGTGAGAAGCCCAAACCATCAAGCCAGCAATTGAGGTTAGGGTGACTTTGGCAGGTTGGTTTGAAGGGTATGTAAACGCAAAACCACAATTTTTGGATCTGAGTGTTTTTGAGGGTACCCTTTGTGTAAGTTGGTTTGGAAAGCCATCTTTTTTTTGGGGCCCCCACGAGCCCATTTGGGCTGTGTCTCCCAAATGTTGTTTGGATTGGTCTTCGTCCAATCCCCTGTTTGCGGGTCCGATGTGTTCAGTCGCCGAGATGGAGTGGGACCATGTGAAACCAGGAGAAGCACCAATTTGACACGAGAAGCTTATCAAGACTTGACACCATTTGCACCCTCTTACCACTGACACTTGATTTGGGAGCATAACGATTTATGCCCTCAGCGCTCATCGCCCCGAAACAGTGATTGCTCATGTCGCAGAGGCTCTTATCGGGTCAGTTTCTTGTCAGACCGCTTTCTTTGCCAACGAGTTCCCTATGTGCATTCAATATTCCACTGGTCAGCGGAGACTTTGACAACAGCAGTGGCTTAGGTAGCCAATGCGCTTCACCGGGCAGAAGATGGGTGCCATGCCCAGTGGTACAGACAGGCAGTGCCTTGACCTTTGCCTTACGGCGGGCCTTCGTCATTTGAAGCATGATCACGCAGTCTGAGCCATTCTGCCGCATTTGCTAGCTTGCCCAGGCACAACCACTACAGGAACCAGGTTGGTCTGCATGCAAGCAACTACTGTGTGCACGTTTCAGAAGACATTTTAAGCCGTTGAGTCACGCAAGAAGCAATGAGAGGCGCAGGCGGAGACGTAGTCTTGCGAGCTGAACTTTGCTGGTGTCGTTTTGTGAGGGTACGCCTTCCTTTGTGGTCTAAACGGAAAACTACGAGGAAAACCGTCATTTTGGGGGTGCGCCTAAAAAATGACGCTTGTGATGCAAATCAGACTTGTTCAGGTGGAGCTTAATCAACAGCGGCACGACCGCATCACCAAAGTGGCGCAGGCCTGCAAAACTTGCACGAAGATCCCACTGTGAGTTTGAAGTCCTGAAAGAGGGCTCCCCGTTCTTCCCATGGCTTGTCTTTTTCTGAGGCCGTGGGGTGGCTTTTACCCTTGGGTTTGGTCTAAGCAGAAGCCAAAGCCCATTTTGAGAGTGCCATGAGACGCATCCACATCACTAACTTCACTCAGTGAAGCTTGCAGCGTGCAGACCACACGACCAATCGAGTAGACTCAGACTGGTCGGTGCCCAGCGAGAAGAGGCTTTGCCTGGAATGCGAGCAGCTGGCCTCGCGAGCATCAATCCGAGGCCTGGTGCTTGCCAAAAACCCAAGAACGTTTCGGGGGAGATGTTATTTTTTGTTTGTGGAGGGCACTCCTTTGGGTGTTGGTTTCAAGTTTGAAAGTAAGCCAAGAGGGAACCAGGTCACGGGGGGCGTTGAACTTGACCCGTCACAGATGTGGTTTTGTGGTTTTATGGATCTTGGGATCGAAGAAACAGGATACAGCTCAGCCAAAGATCCGCAGTTTCACAGTCAGACCCAAGTCAATCAGACTCAACCATGGGACTTTTTATTCGAGGCGATCCTGGGGCTCTGGAAGCCCTGAGCAGAAATCCGGATGCGAATGCACTTGGCCGGAATGGACCCCGATTCTAAGATTGACCACCAATCCCACAAAAACCATAAAACTGTAAGGTCAAAAGAAATACTAGAAAGCAAGACCTGGTTAAAAGTGAGCCACACTGCATCTATGAACTGCCAGACACATCCGTAAGTTGAGCCGTCAGGATGGGCACCTGCGGTAGCTTGCAGAATCTCACTGGTCTGCGGGGCCAGGGAGGCGCGTCTGCGACAAGCTCTCTCGTGCGTGCGTGAGCGCGTTTGCGCGTCTTTTTTTAGAGGATCCTCCCACATGGCTGTACCACTCAGAAAGACAGAGGAGGGAACCGCACCTTTGTGTGTTCAAACAGTTGCGTTGTTTGTCTTTGATGGCGTGAGGCAACGAACATTGGCGCACATCGACGCCCTGGGCCTTGGTGCGAACCGGCATTGATTTGGCGAACCTGGGCCGGTTTTGCCCTCAAAGTGGTTTTCTTTAAAGGGCCCGAAAGGAACACCACCTGAAAGAAGCGAAGCGGTTCCCTCAAGATCCAAAAGTCCGAAGCTTGAGCAAACTAGCCCCACCTACTCGCTCTTGTGTCCCTTCCTTTTCAGAGAATAGAGTTTGATTTGGCCAAGGAGTTTGATCGAACCCGCATCGTATGGTGGTTGGTCGTGGACTTCCCTTCATCCCATGCAAAGGACCTTTTGATCAACCCGCTCTGGCTTTTTTTCTCGCTGCACTTGATTCCTTTCGAGCGCCAGGGCGGTGCTTGGTCGCTGGAGTCGCTTTCCCACAACTGAGATCTGGGGTAAGCCGACTTGAGAGAGCCTCTAAACTTCTTCATCCCTTTTTCGACAATTGCTTGTGTACTCCAAGTTTGAGAAACCAACGGCGGCGAGCCGTAAACCAAAATGTTCGTCAAGGGTTTGAACAAATTTCCAACATGAAACAAACCAGATCCAATTGCTAGAGAGATCAACAAAGTTTCTCAACTGGCCGTTTTCACCTCAGATGCTGCTGCCAGAGGCACAGCGTCTGTGTGCGCATTGTACATAGGCGAACGGAGCCCAATGTCGGGATGGCTTCAGTGAGCCGGCGCTCGCGGGATGGGAAGAAATGAGCTGCAGGTTTGGGGGGGGCAGACAGTCAAATGGGTGTGACTTTTTGTTGCGAGGGTGTCCCCATTGAAGGGACACCAAAATGAGAACCTCATTTTTTGAGGGGTTCCCGCACAAAATCTGTGGCAGCTGGGGAAAGTGGAGAAGCAAGCAAGATCTGAGCAAGAGGAGCAAAGAGCACATTGCACGCAATGAACTTTGTGCCGGTGGTGCCTGAGACATTCTTACAATTGGGAAGGACACAGGCGTTGTTTGAAGAAGGGCTCAGGAGAGCCAATGCTGGGAAGTTTGCAGTTGATTTGTTGTCTTGCTAGTGAAGCTCTTTTCATGCTCATGCTTTCTAGGCGCAATGAATGCATCCTGGGTGGGCCCCATGATCGGATGAACTATCAACGTGCATGTCAGGAGCTGCGAATTCGCTCTGAACGGTCTAGTATTGAATGCTCTCCCATGATCCCATGTCCTTCGTTCTCCATGCAAACTTGCCCGAGATGTTGTCAGGTTGGGTATCAGGACCCAGAGGTCGCGCCCGTATTTTTCTGAAGACGCCTCAGAACAGGTGGGTGAGTCTTTTTTTTTGAGGACCCCCCCCCCCATTTTTTTACATAATAATGGTGGGTTTCCTTTGTTTGCCCTCTGCACCCACCAAGGGGGCACCCACAGCTCCAGGTCTTACTGGTATCTCTGCTGCCGCCTGGCTCGAGCTGCCTTGCCCGACGGCCTCTTACGCGGCTTGGCTGGGAGCGCTGAAACGAACGGGCACCCCAAAATGGGTATGGGTCAAAATGAATCCACCAGGAGACGGCGGGTTTGACACTTTAATTCCATTTACCAGGGTCCCTTTTGGGTACCTATTTTTGACCCACAGCCAAATGGGTGGACACGAATCACAAGAATTGATGTCCGGAAGGGTTGTTGTAACTACAGGGTAAGTGCTGTAAGTCGTCCCGGGTTGATCTAAGTCGTCCCGGGTGAGTGTGCCCGTTGTGTTTGTGGATGTAAAGATAGTTGTCTCAAGCATGTCATTCTCTGAAATCGCATAATTCTGTGCTGTGCGCATGCAAAATGTTCATTGGGATGAGGGCCCGGCGCTCGCGCGGCACTCGCGCAGAGTCGCGTGGCACTCGCGCCGGCAGCCCTTTTGTCGGGTGTTCCGGGGGAACCAACAGAAAACACCATTTATGTTTGAAGGATAGGAACCCTTTAATTGCAGTGTGCCCAATAGGGTTTTGCCCGGGAAAAGCATTCAACATGAACCCAAACCAGTGAGTTTTGAGCATATGGCTTCCGTTCAAAAAGGCCGGCTAAGCAGCTATATACAGTATGTTCATAATTCCGGGTGCATCTTGTTTTTTCCTTTTCGACATGAAGCGGGCCCCCACCTAAATCATGCAAATCCCACTGGCAGCGCTAGCTTCGCGCTAGCTCGGCGCTAGGTCGGGGACGTTAGTTGACGTGGCACGTGAGATGCGCACGCATGGCCCTTCTGTCCGGTGGCTCTCAGCGCTCGAGGCATTCCTTGCTTGCAACGCGAAAGTGCTGCGTCTGCCAAGAGATCTGCACGTGTCTTTTGCGAAAGTGACGCGCCTGCCATGCCTGCCCTTCCGAAAGCGTTGCGCCTGCCACGAAATCTGCGAAAAATAAGAAAACATGGGCAGTTTTTCGCGCTAGCTCCGCGCTAGCTCCGCGCTAGCGCCGCGCTAGCAGGCAGTTGCCAACTTGAACACGTGGGCACGTGCCTGGTTGGAGGCAATACCCAAGAAACCACTTGCATGTTTCTTGGCTGTAGTTGGTAGTCAGGCCAAGTAAAGCTATATACGCGTTTCCGTTTTGCTACTTGCTGAAGATGTGGTGTAGAACGTTGGGATTTATTGTGTCTTTGAATATCCTATAGCAGCAGCTTTAAGAAAAGGCCCGCGCTAGTGCGCCTGTCAGTGGTTTGCCCGTCTCTTAGTCAAACGTATTGTGCCGCAATGGTTACGTGTTCATATGGCCCGAATGATACGGGCCCCCATGGAATGGCGATTTACGCTACAAAACTGGGAGCCAGCATTTTGACAACCAGCCATATGCGTGCAGTGTGCGGTGAATTCTTGGGGTTGGCAACATCGCCCTTCCAGTTCTGTGCCCATTGTGTTTTGCAAAAAATGGGGCGACTTAAAACGCATGGGGTGACTTAAACGGATATGCGTAGTTCCAAGCGGCTGGGGATGGCTGGGGTGACTTAACGCGACGTGGGATGACTTACGACGCCCGCTTGTAACATGCACACCCGTTTGATTCCTTCCTTTGCCAACAATCTGGGAAGCATTGGGCATGTTGCTTCAAGAGCACCACTCAGATCTTAGCTCAGTTGCTGCTGTTTGCCAGAGTTTGACATGCGCATATGTATTCAAGGCGCTCAGGTCAAATTAAGGAGTGGCGATTGGTCGAGCGCTGCCATTTCATTTCCCAATATGGGTGTTTTTTTGTTTTGCGAAAGGGAACAAATGTTTTGGGGTCCCCTAAAAAACCACAGACCCATATCCGCTTTGTCGAAAGAGGCAAATTCCAGATCCAGTTTTAGCGGAGGTGCGCGGCGCGCCCGCGGGAAGCTCGGTCGAGTTGCATCTGATTGGCGTGCATGGACATTTTTTGTTGAGCTGTCCACGTTGCCATTTCGGGGTCTGAAAAAGGACACCAACAAAAAGACGAGCCGCCGAAACCCGGCTGTCGGATATCCCCAATTCAACCAGGTCGAACGATACGTGAAACCCAAAGGGAAAAGGGCCGCGGATCTCGGGGGGAGGGGCTGCGAAGGCCATTTCCATTGCCACGATGCCGGCCTCGAATTCCGTGCCTTGGGCTTCAAAGAGACATATTAGTGTGTATGTATATCTATATATACATAGATATATGGTGTATATATATATACATACATATATATATATATCTATATGGTGTATATATATATATATATATGTGTATACATATGCATACATCTTATACAACACGTATAAACTATTTTCTATGTGTATATATAGGACTTCAAAACAATCTTTTCTGGAATCCTGGAATATTGAATCTTGCGTCCCATACTTATTTTTTTGAAAAACAATCTGGGATCCAAGATTCAAGATTCAAGATTCCCAGCAAATAGTATTTTGAAATCTTGAATATTGAATCTTTTTTTTGTTTTAAATGGGATTCAAGATTCAAGATTCAAGATTTCAAAGTAATCATTTTCTGGGAATCATCAATCTTGAATCTTGAATCCCAGTTTTTTTTGATTATTCCAGGTTTGTCCCAATTCTCTCGGTGTTCAATAAGATTCTCGGAAAAGCTTTCCGTGAAATATTTCAATTTTGAGGTACAATACGTTCGAAGTTTTAGAACAACTTGATCATTTTTTCGGGTTTGCCCAGGATGGATGATTGAGGGGAAAGTTGCGGTTTGTGCAATCCTCGATATTGAATCCTCAATCCAGTGGTAAAGCACTTTCAAGTGTGACAAAACAAGTGTTCTGTGTAATCTTCAATCTTGATTTTTGTCCATCCAGTGGCTAGCGATCCAGTGGAAGCACTTTCAAGTTATTAGTTAGACTATCTTTCAAGTGCTTTTGGTGAGCGGTTTGCTTCATGTTAGCTATGAAGCATGTTGGCCCTTGTCCAGGAGGTAAACAAAGGTAGGTGTAATGCTCAAAAACACTGTAAACATATACAGTGTTTTATGAAGAGGCGCAGGATCATTAGGGGTACTATATATGTGTGTATGTATGTGTATATATATATATATATACACATATGTATGTATGTTCACACACCGTCACCCCCCCTCTTGAACTACCTCTCCACATTTGCTCATCTACTACCTCCGCCTTTTGAGATAGAATGCATTTTGTTGTCCTGTGCAAATAGAACTTTAAATACAACTTCAAAACAATCTTTTCTGGAATCCTGGAAAATTGAATCTTGCGTCCCATTATATATATATATATATATCAAACATTATGGGATTCAATATTCAAGATTCCCAGAAAAAGTTTATTGTGAAATCTCGAATCTTGAATCTTTTGTTTTTTTCATATCTGGGATTCAAGATTCAAGATTCACAATTTCCAAATAATCTTTTTCTGGGATTCTTGAATCTTGAATCTTGAATCCCATAATTTTTGAAAAAAAAACAGGTTTGTCCCACTACTCTCGGTGTTCAATAAGATTCTCGGAAAGCTTATTTAACTGTTATTATGAAAAGCTAATTGAGTTGTGTTCGTATTAGATTTTATCTAACACTTAGATTATATTTGGGAATAATTTCCTAGCTTCTTTTGTTGAAGATTTGAAGATTAGTTGGAGTTTGCCCGAAATTATACTTATATTATACGGTAGCTCCTATTTGCAATGTTGAACATAAACACATTTTTTTGAAAACTATAGCCACATTATGTTCAAAATTCTAATTCTAGTTGAAGTAAAATCCTATTTGGAAAGGCTATCATATTGGGACATTTCGGATCTTGCCATGATGGACTGCAAGCCCATTCCATTCGTTTGTGCTTAGAATCTATTGCAAAACTCTACAGCCTGCGCGCTGAAATCCAGCAAAACCTAGGCACCAGGGGGGGGCGTTGCATACATATATATATATATATAGAACATATACACATACAGACATACTATGTATGCACTCTATGTATGTATATAGATATATATATATATATATATATACACGTTGTATGTATGTTTTTTTTGGCACTTCTTTTTTTGTTGGCTGGTTTCAAGGGACACTGACAGAAAGCCACCGCTG